GGGCTTCTCAGGCTGGTGTGGAACAATGCCTTCAAGATTCTTACGCATACTTTTGTCTAGCTGTGAGGGTCTACTAAGTACCACCTTTAACCTGCCTAACAAGGTGTATTACAGTCATTTAACAGCTCGATGTTGGTAGGGTGGGGGTGGATGTGCTTGTGGAGTAGAGTGAAGAGGAGAATAGGGCAGGTTGAAAATATTGCAATCTTTTAGCAAAATACTGCTGCCTACAGTACTGTTCCCTTCAACCCCATACCCCACTAGCCGTCATTGGTCTGTTAGTATATAGATAAGAATAGTTTTGCATTTTAAAAGGGTTGGGGTTTTTTGGGGGGGTAGGGGCGGGACTGTGGGACCCACAATAAATATATAACCAAGACTATATATGGCTTAACTAAAAAAACTCACTGCCATAGAATCTATTCCAATTTCTACTGAACCCACAGATCAGAGTAGAACTGCCCCTATGGGTTTCTGAAACTGAAAGCCTCATGGAGTGACTGGTGATTTTGAATTGCTGACCACCAAACCTAAAATATTTACTACTCAACTCTTTATAGAAACTTTATAGAAACAGTGTGCCTCACCTCTGGTCTAATCCAACAAAAACATTAGCATAATTTGCACATTATAATGTGAATGACATTTGATCAGATTTGGTATTCTTTAAAATGATTCTGAAACTAAATTCAAAATAGAGGGCTTCCTTTGTATGGCAAAGAGTAAAAGAATTAATATTTTTAAGAAAGAGCTTTACAACAGGACAAATATCATAATAACTCTTTATTACTTTTTGATATATTATCCTGTTTTTAAAAAAATATGCAATAGTAGAATGGAATATAAATTAATAAATGCTAAATGTGGGAAAGGTGAAACAATCAAAATATAATATTTTAAGTGATAAGTGCAGAAAAGTCCAGACTATCATCTAGAAAGCAGTTTGAAATAATGTGTTCAGCATATTATAGAATAGAAGATAAAGTTTCCTGTAACTGTGAACAGCAAGCAAATAAAAATAGACTCTATTTATAGTATTAATGAAGACCACTTCATGTATATGTGTATACTGTTTTAGGGTACAAAGTTGACCCAAAATCTCAAATATAATTTAAAGAGACCATTTATCATTAAGTCTTAAACCAGAAAAGACAAGACAAAGAGCATCATCTGAATGCAGGAGATCATTAACACAAAGTCATAATGGCATCTCCGAGTTTGCTGAGAAACATGACCTATGGTTCCCATGGTGAAAGAGGGAGAGTTTTTGCTCAGGAGGCATTGAGTTCATTTTAATGAAGGTGGAACAATTTGGAGAGATATAACAATAATGGTTGTACAACATGAAGTAAATACTCAAGTATAAGTTGACCAGAAGATGAGCCAAGGCACCAAATTTGACCACAAAAACTGCATTTAAAATGTGCTGAAAAACTCGGATTATACACGAATATATACGGTAATCAATGGTACTAAATTATACATGTAGATGTTGTTGAATTGGTCAATGTTTTGTTGTGTATATTTTTTAACCAAAATCGGGGTGGGGGGGGTTACATGGGGAAAAAGAAAATGTTCTAAAATTGATTGTGCTAAAGATTGTACAGTTCATCTTGATATAGTTGAACTATTGAATTGTATGATATGTGGATGAAGTGCCGATAAAACTGTTTTTGTTTTTCTTTTTAAGAAATAAACTAGTTAGAAAAATAAAAGACATTGCAGGGCAAAGGAAATTATCACAGAAATATAATTGGTTGCAGATCAGTACCTCAGGGTTACAAGTGGGACTACAGAATTGGGAATGGGACCATACTAATTAAAATAATTTCAGAAACTTCTTTTCACATTCAGCATGTGGTCAGAGTTTCTTAGCATGCAGTCAGAAGCCCGTGAACCTCACTTATCTACTACCATCCACCTTTGCAGCTTCCTAGACATTGTTCTCATTTGGTATTTGAGCCCTTTGCCTGTGGCTTAATTGCCCTTTTTTCTCATCCTGCCACTGTTAGTTCTACATGGCTGGGATAGACAATTAATATAAAATCCAATTTAATTAATAGAGTTACAAAAAGGTAACTAGTAACTGGTAACTAGTATGAACTTAAAATATGTTTCTGGAGCTGAGTGGAAAAAATAACTACATGACTGAGAGTGATTTCACTACTTATTATTGCTATAGCAAATTTAAAGAAGTATAAAACAGTAATATTTACTGTAGAAGGGGAGACATAAAAATACAATTACTAACTGAAGAGTGGTATGATATTGAAAATTTCTGTAGGTCTGGCAGTCTAGGAATAGCCCTAGGGATGGATCTGTTTATGGCATCCATCTGATGGATGCCAGGAGGACATCCTCCCACCCCGAGTCCTTGGATACTGTGTATGTATTTAAGACAATGGAAAATAAAACTAGAACTTGATTTGAAGCAGAGAGATGGAAGTTCTGGTTTGCTAGCATGTCCACACTGAAAGGAAAAGATGTGAAGACTTAGAAAAGGACAGACTTGCATATGTCGTTTCTTGAGCACTAAACATGAGTAGAAGATACCCTAAAAGTTATAGGTCCAGAGGTCAGAGCACTGCTCTGACAAGAATCATGTTAGCGATAGTGGTAGTATACTGTGAAGTAGAGAACCGTTCCCTTCTCAGGACAGCAATTGTATTGGAGGGAACGAAAATAAAACCTGAATAGTCCAGGGTTTCTAAGAATACAACCTCATGAAACGGGACAACAGACATGAAATAAAGAGAATTCAGAAGTCCCGAGAGGGAGGACAGTAACCTTGATTTGGTGTGGTGGGAAAAGCCCTATAGAAGAGATGGTGCCTTAAAGGTAGTATGGGAACCCTTAGGAAGTGGGAGAAATGAGAGATGTTCCAGACCCTGGCAGTGGGGTCAGCAGAGGGCAGGAGGAAGGAATGCTGGCTGGCAGCACACTGATGATTTGCCAGTGTACTGCTGCACGCCAAGGGATAAATGGTCTTTTAAGGATAGTTTGTCTGTAGCAGTTCTCACAGACCCTTGAGGTTTCTGCAAGCTTCTCTGAACAAAAATTCTTTTTTTATTAGTTCATCTTCTAAATCTATTACACAGACTCAGATTAAGAGGACTCTTACTGGATGGCATGTGTAAAATTGTATACATTTTTATAAGATCATGAGCAGTTTTCCTGGTATCATAAAACGTTGAGGTATACACTGTGTGAACTATATGTGGAAATCTTATCTGGATATCTTTTTAGTCTTATTAATTTAGAAGTAAACCAAGTGGGAATTATGCTCTTTTTATTTTGCATCAAGAATTTAAAGCCATTAATTCAGTAAAGGTGTATTGAACACCAACTGTGTATCAGACATTGTTGTTTTTAGATGCCACCGAGAAGATTCCAGCCACCTAAGCCAATACACCTAGGCTACAGCCACCACTCAGCCGTTACTGGAGGCTTGCATGTTGTTATAATGTCCAACTGTTTCAGTACAACTTCCAGACCGATAATTAGGACGAAAGACTTGTTGATTTACCTGTAGAAATCAGCCACTGAAAATCCTGGGTCTCTACAACTAATCTCAGGGATAGCTCAAGATCAGGTATGCTTCATTACGTCATGCATGGGATCAATATTAGTTGGGCACTTCAGAAAGCCCCAAGTTCCCTGTCTTAGTGCATCATAACCTAGAAATCTGAATCCCCATAGATCAGCTTTTTTTGCTCCTTTATGTCCTATAGATAATCAGCTTCAAGTTTTTTCAATTTTACCTTATGTGAGGGGGCTTCAAAAAAGGTCATGGAAAAGGACTTAAAGGATAATGCATTTTTACATGAACTTTTGCCGGCTCTTGTCTCCCCCCTACTATAAGGAATCCTGGGTGTGCAACGGGTTAGATATTGGGTTTCTAACTGAAAGGTTGGCAGTTCAAAGCCACCAGTCACTTATGGGAGAAGGATAGACCATTTGCTTCCCTTTGAAACTATATGGAGAAGTTTGATCTGTTCTGTAGAGTTGTTAAGAGTTGGAATTGAATTGGCAGCAGTGAATTTGGGTTTTGATCGTTCCCTCTTTAGGCAGAGCACTTCAGACCCTCATCATCTCTCAGCTGGATTCTTATAGTTGCAGTGTTGCCCTGCCACTGACCTGTCTGCTCCTCTCCCTCTCCACCTCGCAGTTCTGTCCTGATACAGTGCTTACAGGCCTTTCTAACTGTACCACCCTCATCTCTTTGCGTTGACGGGTGTGAGGGATTCATTTTGTTCTTAAGTCTCCATCTATGCATGGGTATCATCTAATTGTAGCTCGAGCCCAAGTCCTATGTCCACATTTTTAAACTAATAATGATTATATTCTGAACTCCTAAACCGAGTGCCTGTATCATACCTGGATGCTTACTCATGCCACACACCTTCTATTGTTCTTTAATTGTGTATGTGTATTTTATGTACCCAGTGAGAAGATCATAACTTCCCTAAATAGTAAGATAGTAATTTTGGTGACCACAGTGTGCAGTCAGTAAAAATTCATGGATTACTTTCACTAATTAGTTTTTTCCCCTCTCCAATATATATTATAATCAATTTTCCTTTAAAAGTTGTGTGATCTGAGTTTTACATTTAAGTGCATGAAGACTTTACATTTCCTAGTTACTTCATGCTATGTTGCTGGAGACTAGAGCTTAGTTGTTCATTTTCACGTAGTGAATTTGTTCTTTTGTAGGTGAGGAATTCTCTCAGTGTGCCTGGTGGTGATAATAACAGCTATTTTTAGAAACATCATCAAAAACATGCTAAATACCATCAAATCCTCTTACATTCTTGTGTAATTGAAAAAGTATAAATTAAAAAGTCTCACAGCTTTAATTGGATGTAAAATAGGCCCATTGATTCTTAGCTTCTCAAATACAGCTGCTGAAGAACAAGGACTTTGGGCTCAGTTTAAAATAAGACGTTAAGAATTGGTATGTCTCATATTCTCAGTACATGAAAGACTTGTTTCTAATCCAGGCATTAACATGTAGAGAAGAACTCCTTACTCTGCTTCTGTCACTCCTGCCCCTGGTGTGGAAGATCCCTGTTCGAGAAGAAAAGGCAACAGGTATGTTTCTTTCCTTTATCATGATGCTTGCTTTATCAAAATCCCTTTGGGAGGAAAAATCTAATTTAAAAGAGACTTCTGCCTGAAAGATGACTGCAACTTCACATTCAGAACAGAATACATGAGGGGACTTTAAAAAGTTTGTAGAAAAATTCCATTATCTTTTACTTCCATTTCCCACAATCTTTTGGAAGTCACTTCATATTAGTGGAGTTTATCAAATATTTCGTCTGTCCTATAGGGTAGCCTTGAGGCATCGACTCAACCTCAGTGGGTTTGAAAGGAGGCCAATATATATTGTAAATATCTAAATTTGAAAAGATAACTCTATATATTAATGTGTATTATATATATTATTAAGTACATCGATCTTAAATGTTTCTGAAATATATAAATATATGGATACATATATTTGCACATGGAAAGACCAATTTCAGTATCTTCTTAGTTAGTGAAGAGGATTCATTCTTCCCCCAAGAAATAGTGCCAGGCCCTGTTTTAGGCACTGAGGAGGGCAGTGGTGCCTCTGGCATATATATATGTATGTCATACATATGTATGCCATATGGCATACACTGCTCACGAAATATTTTGAAGGTATTCTTCTAACCTCATTTTTTTGGGGACATTTAGAGTCATTTGGATGACTTTTAAGTAATTTTGAAGAACTTAAAGTTTTTAAGTGATAGTATATGTATATCACTGTATACACACACACACTGTGTTTGAAACTATAACTTACATCTGTAACTTACTTAGTGACACTATTGGAAGAGATCTGTAAAATGATATAAATAACAGTGCTAACAGCAGTAAACAGCAGATCATCTAAAGATCCTTTTACATTAGAGTTAGAAGGCAATCTATCATATAAATCAGATTTACCTTCCTAGTTCTCTTTTTCATAGTTGTTTCCCAAATCGTCTTATATTCTTTGAGTTAATGCCACCTTTTGTTTAGAGCCTGGAGCCTGGTGGCATAGTAGGTGACCCACTGGAAGGTCAGCAGTTTGAGAGCATCAGCCTCTCTGCTGGAGAAAGCTGAGACCTTCTATTCCCAGCGAGTCACAGTCTGGGAAACCCACATGGGCAGTTCACTTCTGTCCTCTAGGCTCACTGCAAGCTGCAGTCACAGTGGATGGCAGTGAGTTTGGATTTTGTTTTCTTACTGTTTAGAGCGAGAGTACATATGTGGAAGAAAATTGACCCAGAAACATAACAAATAACTTTATTTATTTATTTTTAAAAATCATTTTATTAGGGGCTCATACAACTCTTATCACAATCCATACACATATCAATTGTGTAAAGCGCATTTGTACATTCATTGTCCAACAAATAACTTTAAAGAAAACAAAAGTATTTTGAAGATAAACTCCAGAAATAGATAATAAATTAGGAAATAATCATTGATAGCAACTGAATTTTTAAATATATTGAGAAATTCTAAGTTTTTCTCTTTTTTTTATTAGATTTTAATCTACCGTTCTCAGTTGATATCATTCCGACCAAGGAAAGGGATGCAAGCTCACAGCGATCTACTCAGGACAGTTTATATTTAGAAGGAAGCATTCCATCTGGTCAGGTTTCTACAAAAGTAAACATTTCTCAAAAAAGCAGACGCCCGCGTAAAATCACCCATCGCTACTCTATACGAGATGCAAGAAAGACCCAGCTCTCCACATCAGATTCAGAAGCCAATTCAGATGAAAAAAGTGTAACAACAAATAAACATAGGAGGTCCCATTTGATACAGCATTACTCAACCCAGTCTTCTACAGAAGACCACTTAAGAGCAAAAGTTGACCATTCCGTAACCAAAGAACAGACGACTCCTGATACTATGGCTTTAGAAAATTCCAGAGAGGTTATTCCAAGACAGGAGTCAAACTCGGACGTTTTAAGTGAGCCAGCCGCGTTGTCTATTATCAATAACATGAACAATTCTCCATTTGACTTATGCTATGTTTTGTTATCTTTATTAGAGAAAGTTTGTAAGTTTGACATTACTTTGAATCATAATTCTGCACTAGCAGCTAGTGTCGTGCCAACATTGACAGAATTCCTAGCAGGCTTTGGAGATTGCTGTCATCTAAATGACAGTTTGGAGAATCAAGTGGTTTCTGCAGGCTGGACTGAAGAACCCGTGGCTTTGATTCAAAGGATGCTGTTTCGAACAGTGCTGCACCTTATGTCAATAGATATTATTGCTGCAGAGATGATGCCAGAAAGTCTTAGGAAAAACTTAACTGAGTTACTTAGGGCAACTTTAAAAATTAGAACTTGCTTGGAAAAGCAATCTGATCCCTTTGCACCAAGACAAAAGAAAACACTACAGGAGATTCGGGAAGATTTTGTGTTTTCAAAATATCGTCATAGAGCCCTTCTATTGCCCGAGCTTCTGGAAGGAATTCTACAGATTCTAATCTGTTGTCTTCAAAGTGCAGCTTCTAATCCCTTCTACTTCAGTCAAGCCATGGATTTGGTTCAAGAATTCATTCAACATCATGGATTTAATTTATTTGAAACAACAGTTCTTCAAATGGAATGGCTAGCTTTAAGAGATGGTGTCCCTACTGAGGCCGCAGAACATTTGAAAGCCTTAATAAATGGTGTCATGAAAATAATTAGCACTGTCAAAAAAGTGAAATCAGAACAACTTCATCACTCAGTTTGTACAAGAAAAAGGCACAGACGCTGCGAATATTCTCACTTTATGCATCATCACAGAGATCTCTCTGGTCTTCTGGTTTCAGCTTTTAAAAACCAGATTTCAAAAAACCCATTTGAAGAGACTGCAGAGGGCGATGTTTACTACCCCGAACGGTGCTGTTGCATCGCAGTGTGTGCTCATCAGTGCTTGCGTCTGCTGCAACAGGTGTCCTTGAGCAGTACTTGTGTCCAGATTCTGTCTGGTGTGCGTAGCGTTGGAATATGCTGTTGTATGGATCCAAAATCTGTAATCATTCCTTTGCTCCATGCTTTTCAATTGCCAGCACTAAAAAACTTTCAGCAGCACATATTGAATATTATTACCAGACTTATCTTGGACCAATTGGGAGGAGCAGAGTTATCTCAAAAAATTAAGAAGGCAGCTTGCAATATTTGTACAGTTGACGCTGACCAGTTGACCAAATTAGAAGAAACATTGCAGGAAAACTCACGTGACACCGAACCTTCATCAAATTTGTCCAGTCCTTATTACAGATTCCAAGGGATCCTGCCCAGCAATGGGTCTGAAGATTTATTATGGAAATGGGATGCTTTAGAGGCTTATCAGAATTTTGTTTTTCAAGAAGACAGATTGCATAGCCTACAGATTGCCAACCACATTTGCAATTTAATTCAGAAAGGCAATGTAGTTGTACAGTGGAAATTATATAATTTTATATTTAATCCCATGCTCCAAAGAGCAGTTGAATTAGCGCGTCATTGTCAACACCAAAGCATTACTGCAGCTCGAACTCATGTACGTATCCATCACAACCAAAGTTTGCTTCAGGAAGTGCTTCAGATTTACCTAAAAACTCTTCCTATCCTGCTTAAGTCCAGGTTTGTATGTGTATGTGTTTTGATCAGATATTTTGAGTGTGTGATAAAGTGTATGCATTTGAACTTCTACTCTTAGTAACTCCAGGGCTTCATCATTACTAAGACACTTTACTTTTTTTACTTTTCTAGGATCTAATTTTGATATAATAACCAAAACATCATATTTTCAGATCTTCCATTGTCAGAAAAGAAATGTTTTTAGCCACCTGTATGTCTCCATCAATCTCTATTTACTGTTGATGTCTATATGTCTGTCTGTGTTTCTCTGTGTTTTTACTGGATGATTATAGAGGAGAGGATAGAACAATTGATTTTAATTTCCTAGTGGAAAAAACAAGTATTAAAATATGTTTTGAGAGGAAAAAGGGGAAGCAACACTTACGTTCAACAGCAGGCAAGGTTTTGTTTTACTTACTTGTTGGAACATTAGTTTTAGCCATTAGAAATAATGCTTATGAAGATTATGTTGGAATTTGAGAAACTGTTTTTAATAATTTACAGGTAACAATTTTAAGTGTGCAATGTGATACACTTATTTATAACTATGTAAAATATGTACATATGTGAAATAATTATGTATTGAGGCAGAAGAACTAAGGGGATGATTTTTAAAATATTCTATATTTTCTTATCTAAGAAATAGATGTAGAAAAATTAGAAATACAAATAAGCAACAGTAAGATTATGATAACCTGTAATTCCACCAATGAGTTTCTAAATATTGTAATGGTTAAATTAAAAATGTAATCTTTTTAAAAATTGCTTTTGATAAGTAATCTGCCCTTTCAAATAAGTACATCACCTTTTAAAAAACTTACATTAAAACAAATCAACCTCTTCATTTGTGGCATTATTTGTCCATATTAGTACAATTATCTTAAAACCTTAATATTAAATCAATACCTTATAATGTATATATTTTTAATTCAGATATTATTTGTTTAAATAAAACCGAATACTGAATTTGATTAGAAAATTTTGTAACTCCTGGGAATATTTATGGGTAACCTGGATCTTTGTGAAATAAGAACTAGAAATCACCGAGCTGATTTATATTAAAGTTATTACTAGAATCTCAACGACCTGGCGTTCCATGAGTCAGAGACTGAGCTGATCATCACTTGCAGCTCTGGGATTTGGTTCTTTTTCTCTCTGAGTACAGATCTAAGGCCAGCAAAAAGTCACGAATTAATCAATCTGGAAAACCTGTCATGGTACTTTTGGCATTTAATATTTAGTAGAATGTACCATTTGGAGAAAAATGTTTTTCCTTAAATTGATTTAGCTTTTAAAGCATGTAATTTAAAAAGATCATTCATATATTAGGCAATATTCAAAGAAGGGTGTGAAAAGTAATTAGAGATTCTAAGTCAGAACTTTAGCTAAATAATTGATGAATCAAATTATGTAGTGTTTAGTCTACAAGCAGTAATGGTGTGTTAAGTACATATCTGTAAGTGCTAATGCTATCTGTAAACGCTTTCATATTTTTTTCTCCCACAGGGTAATAAGAGATTTGTTTTTAAATTGTAATGGAGTAAGCCAAATAATTGAATTAAATTACTTAGATGGTATTCGAAGTCATTCCCTAAAAGCCTTTGAAACTCTGATAATCAGCCTAGGAGAACAGCAAAAAGATACTTCAATTCCAGGTCCTGATGGGCTAGACAATGAGCAGAAGGTGCCATCATCTTCAAATGTAGGTACACCTTTCCATAACCAGCAAGTTTATTCAGATTCTCCTCAGAGTCTCAGCAAGTTTTACACTGACCTCAAAGATGCTTATCCAAAGAAATGGAGGACTGTGAACCAGGATGTTCATATCAACACAATAAACCTGTTTCTCTGTGTGGCATTTTTATGCGTGAGTAAAGAAGCCGAATCTGATCGGGATTCTGCCAATGACTCAGAAGATACTTCCGGCTATGACAGTACAGCAAGTGAACCTCTGAGTCATATGCTGCCATCCTTATCTCTGGAGAGCCTGGCCTTGCCTTCCCCTGAACACATGCACCAAGCAGCAGACATTTGGTCAACGTGCCGCTGGATCTACATGCTGAGTTCAGTCTTCCAGAAGCAATTTTGTAGGCTTGGTGGCTTCCAAGTGTGCCATAAATTAATATTTATGCTAATACAGAAAGTATTCAGAAACTATGGTGAGAGGCAAGAGAAAAAGGAGGAAGGTAACAATATGAATGAAAGCCAAGATTTAAACAGAACGTCTCACTCTGAAATAGCTATAGAGGAAGATTTATTATCTTTGGCGGTAAAAAGTGATCCCACAGTACCAGAACTGAGAAGCCTAATAGAGAATGCTGATGGTTTGAGCAAATCAGAGTCACAGCCTATTTCTCCCACACATGTGGAACACATTTCAGCTATGGAAGCTACTCCTGAGAAAGCAAAAGGATTTCCAAGCCAAGACAGTGAGAGCTCACTTCAGAGCATACGCCTTTTGGAAGCCCTTCTGGCCATTTGTCTGCATAGTGCCAGGACTAGTCAACAAAAGATGGAACTGGAGTTACAAAACCAGGTAATAATTTGTCTTTAGTCCAGCTTTTGTGCAATACAAATTTTTTTTAAAGTTTCAACTCAACCTATTACTGTTCAGTATTACTGTTTTGAAGTGTGAAAAGTTCCTATATGCTTAGCACAGCCCCTGGCATTGTGGAGGGCACAAAGAAGAAGATAACCCTGTTCTTGACCTACGGAAGTTGAACATTTGTAGTGAAAATGTAAAATCCCATGCTCAGTAGTCACCAGCCTTAAAAATCACTAGTTGTGCATTAAATGTGAGAAGAGTAATAATGGTTATTATTTTGAAAGTTTACAATCTTGGTGTGATACTTAGGGGGAGGGGGGTATGTATGCCCTGACGATCCCCTTTACCAAGCTGATGCATCTTTACCAGTGAAGGGTCTACATCTGGTTCTGAAGGCTTGCCTTATCCTAGGGGAGATACCTCTCCAAACCTGGAAACGATGCTGACAAGCAGTGACTGGTGGGGATGAGAGCCTGGAGACCACTGCTACGTATAGTTCAGGCTCCAGAGGTTCACGTGGGATTAGGCTAAGACCGGTCTTCTCCTGAAACTACATCTTTACCTAGTTTATTACCCTGACCTGTTGTTTTACTTCACACTCCCGAGAACACATCTACATAGTGAATCACTTACGTAAGAATCTTCAGTCTTAGGTCTTGCTTCTCAGGAATCTTTGAATAGGGCAGACCTCTTCTGCCCTTCTTAACTCACTCTTACTTTTTCTCTCTGTCACCAGGCTCATCCTATGAGTAGTTTCCGTCCCCATTCTGGCTCCTACCTGAAAAGTCAAGATGCATCTATGTTGCTTGCAGTTGAAATCCATACTCCTTAACAGTGCCCATCTAGTTCTTGCT